CACGCCTAGAAATCATCCATATTCCAGTCCCTGTCAGGCTACAGTTATCGACTGAAAATATCCGTACGGCATTTTGTGACTGAGATTATCAGATTAAATCCCTACATGTGCCCGTGTTTTTCACCTGATTTACAACAACACAATTTACTTTGTTTTGAGGTTTCTTCTTTCACTCAAATACTTAAAAGGCTTAAGTAAAGGTGCAACGTATACTCATACAATGGTTGGTATGATATCTTATGAAAAGTTACTCCTCATTTTTGTGCGTTTTCCTATGAAAGCCAGAAACAATTGTCAACTATGGCTCCTTACATGCAAACAGTCTTTTCAAAATAAACTTCCTTCTTCACAAGAAAAAAACTTGGCAACAGAACTATTAAGTTAGGTTAAGGAAAAGATCGTCGTTAGGGTTAAGATAACTATAAAAGTGACGTTACTGAAGTACACAAGTTGCGTGTCAAATAAATCAACGTTGACTTCTCGTTTCACATCGGGAACGAGCAGCGGCCTCCTGGGTGAAAGATTGGTGTTTGTTGGACCCATGAGCCTCCCACCAGGCCTGTGTGGTCTTTTCCAGTCTTTATACTTCCTCGGTCATGTCTACCTGGATAACATACTACATGATTTCGGGGAATATCTATGAATCATGGCACATTCATTTTCGTAGGTATAGCTACGAACGCTGGATGAGACCAGCCTGGATGATGTCATCAGGGTTATCTCAAATTTTGCTTGAGATTCAAAACCTATAACAGAAAGTCTGTGTTAAAAATTTCGGATTTGGAGTTTGAAAGATGTGAGCATTTATGAGGCAGGGAGGGTCTAATGAAAGATGTATCAAGTTGCATTATGAGAAATAGGATCCAGGGTTTCTGGGTAATGACACATAGGGGCTAAAAGTCAGAATATTTCATTGGATCCTATATTGGATATCATACAGCAGTTCGTATGATATCTAATGAAAAGATTGCGGTTTGGGTTGAAATAAGTATGTATGTGTCGCTAGTTAGATAAGTAGGTTATGTAACAAACCTCAATTAAACTAAATTAATGTTGACTTTTGGTTTCTCACAGGACAGGAACAGCAGTCTCCTCTTGTGGACTTAGTCGCTCTTTATACTACGTCACCTGACTTCCTGACTCTCGATTAAATGGTGATACAAGTTATAGTATGTTACTTCTCATCATTATGAATTGTGAATGAGAACAGCCTGGGATGTTTCAACCTCTGCTGCTTCAGTTTTCAGCTATTAGAGTGGTTTTGGTATACTCTGCCAAAATCCAGAGTATGAATCTGATTCTCAACTTTTATTTGGTTGTAAAATGCTGCTGTCACTCATTACAGAAATGTGTGTGAACTGGACATGATGCCCCCACGTTGGTTTGATTATTACACTAGACAAATTCAGTTTAACAGTGCTGGTACTGTAGTTGAAGAAAAAGGCTGATTGAACCTCTCCTGTCTCCAGTGTATTGTTGCTGTCATGGAAATAACTTATTTTCTTAGTGGACCTGAACGTTAAAATGGCCATTTAACAGGTTGAGTGAGTTTCATTGTCCTTGAGCTCTGGAAATATGAAAAAAGCAGTTTATTATTCCAAATGAAGGGAACAAAGTTTCTTTTTGACAAGGACCTCCATCTTTTGCAGTGGGCCGATATATTTTTGGGGAATCGTATTGACATCTGGTACTCTGCAGGTGTCGCAACTGATGATTTCAGTCTACGCATTCCTACAGATCAGTCCTCTCACATACAGGCTCTGTGGCCTTTCACGCATTCCACAAGGACACACACCAAAAGTCTCATAACGAATGCACAGATTGGGATTAATAAATACGATAGTAGAGTGAAGGAGGGGGGGACGCTTATGATGTGTTGTGCACACATATAATGTCGTATTATCTAAATACCACCTGTTGTCATGCACTGTATACACACCCATGCTCCAAACTGATGTGTTTTTATCAAGCCAGGGGCTCACATCCAGCTTCAGGCACAAGCTGGTCCAAAGAGAGGGGTGGTGCCCCCGGAGGGGTGTTTGCATAAGGCCCACTTTATGACCATGATGCTTTTTCCAGACCAGACCCCGGCCTGAAATGCAGACAGAAATGGGCTTCGAGCCAATAAGCTGCTACTTAACTTTAAGGATCCGAATCAGATTCATTTCTTTGGACAGGCTTTGTAGTACCTGAGTTTGCACACGTCACACAAATGTGCAGGATCACACAACGCGCATGTGTTGTCGCCCCCGAAGATGCCACAACCTGCAATGGTACCCCAAATCCACAAATGCCTCGCATGCAGGAGAAATTTGCATGCAATCAGTCGAGGCATTTCCTGCATCATTTTCCCTTCAGTTGACTGGCGTGCCCTTTGATGCTGGGCACACACTGCTCATGGCATTACAGTAATGCCGAATGTGGCCTACCTTTAATTAAAGGTAAAGGCCTGAGGCTATCCGAATCCTAATCTGTGGTCAAGGATAACTTCTGCTCTGAGCTATCGCTTCAATGTGCCGTGACACCCAAATGGCTTGGTCCCAGCACGGATCAAAGAGTTGTTTGTGGCCGACGCCGAAGATTACACCACTCGGCTGCCATGCCATTCTCTCATAGCAGCCAAGGCAGAGATCCCAGAGGCTTTCAGAACTAAGATGTGTATCAGCCCTGTGGCCAAACAAACAAAACGTGCGTCACTGAACAGAACCCTGAAATGTTAGTCTGTCTTTCTGCCATTGCGCCGATGGCTGGTGGACTGTCTCATGTCTTTCGCTTTTACTGTGAAAGTTAAGTTAGAGTGTTCCTTACTTAGGCTAAATGTTAGGGTTAGGTCAGAAGAGACCTAATTAAACATGCTTGTGTGTTTGTTTGTGTGTGTGGTGTGTGTATGTGTGTGTGTGAGCGAGAGAGAAAGAGAGAGAGAGAGAGAGAGAGATAACAAGGGGCAGGAATAGAGAGAGACAGTGAAAGTGTTAGAGAAAAAAGAAAGAAATAAAAGAGAGAGAGAGAGAGAGAGAGATTTTGACATTATTGTAATCTATTTTGGCTCTGCTTCTGAAAGACTTAGGCAACACACCGCAGTAATTTGTCGGAAATGACACAGGCCCTGTGTGAGCTAACACTGCTCACTCTAATCCCTCCAAAATATGTCACTGATTTAAAATCATAACATTATACAGGTCATGAAACAGCAGGTGCGGATCAATCCCGATGCGTTTGATTTACGTACAGTTCCATTAACTTCCTTGCTTTCCACACAGTGACTCCCAGGTGTGGAACAGCTTCAAAACCGGCAGTCCGTAATTGCGAGCATTTGGCCTCGCGCAGCGCCCACTAGACTTGTCCACGCCGTCCGACCCTCCTGGACATTTTTCTTCTTTTTTTTACAGCATGGTCCGTCGGAGGAACACGCATTGGTGTCGCAGTGTAATGAGTTCACGCACAACGCACACTGACTCGAGGCTTTAACAACTGTTTACACAAAAAATATTCAAAAAAGATTAAATTTCTCAAACGGGAGATATAAAAGCCAAATATCCGCAGCTCAGTAATTGTGTTTGTGGCGAGTTCATCATTCTGTTTTTACTTTTTCCTTATCCCTTTCAAATTGGCTGAAGGGCTGCTATCGGTCCTTTCAGGCCCTTCAGTCCTCTTGAATTGTCCTATAAACAATAAGAGCGGATCTGAATCTGACAGGCGCGTCTCTTCAGCCCGGACCAAACCAAACCAAAGACCGTCAGCTGGGAGAGAGATGTCGCTGGCAGCCTGTTGGCAGAAGGTCCTGACAGGGACCCGCGCACCTCTCAACACAAGCTGTCTGCGGAGAGACGATGCACCACTGAGCCAATCTGGATCTGGGTCTTTTTATAGCCACTAAGTAGCTCCTGAGTCCTGAAATCGCTTTTATTGAATGAGATAATTTCGCTGGATCGTGGATAATTTTAATTATCTGAATTAAGTACATAGAGCTCAGCTCACACATATTACCACGCATTTCATTTTCAATTTAATTTTTTTATCAATATGACTCATTAGCAGAGCCATGCAGGGGACCCTCACTGACTCGGACACTTACATCCTCAGGACAATTACTTACAGTTACACTCCTGTGCACAACTTTATTATTTAAATACTAACGTGCACTTTAATAACATACTTGTCTTAACATACTCTTTATGTGTTCGTTTGTTTGTTTATCATATTTTATTGTAAATTCTTGTATTTTCTATTTTTAAAATATGTCTTTTACTATTGCACTGAGTTTACGCACCAATCACTAAACCTTGCATGTGTAACATGCCTGGCAATAAACCGTGTCTGAGTCTGATTCTGATTCTGAAAATAGGCTACAGGTGCACTCATTCATTGAAAATACAACTCAAACAGCTCCACGCCACAGAGAGCCCCTGTGTGATTAAACCCAGTGAGAGTGTGTTTCCCCCATTAGCCGATTAAATCCCCAACAACTATTAGAGGACATCCGGGATTAGAAATGTAAAGAAACTGAATTCGATGACGCCTTAATCCTAAATTAGTCATTGTAAACACAACGCACACTTATTTTTTCGTTTCGTGCCTGGTTTACACTCCAAACGGATTTACTGACTCTTTGGCAGAGTTGGAAACAAGATGCTGGATTCGATAACAACGCACCCATTAATCAGGATGTTGTCCTTTCTAATTTCGCCTGTGTGTCAGTCTAATGGGTTAATTGAACTGCAGGATGGAAAAGGAGGTTAGAGCAACACTGGAACTGCAGGTTCATTAACTTACTCGATCCTTAAGAAAAATAGCAGCAACTTTGATGTATTTCCTGAGACAAACACCGAGGTCCCTGCTGGGAAATCAAACCCACTGAAAAGAATGCAGATGGGATTGTGGCCTTCACTCTTTCACGCGCGAAGCTGTACTGTTTGGTAAAGCCCCCAGCAGTTAGTCACGTGCTTCACCTGTCACAGCATCAGGTGCACGGTCTCGATACATCTGGTGAGATCCGCTGCTGCCTCCTTATAAACACCCCTTCCGCAGCGGAAGGCCTCGCACCGTCGTGTGTTTGCTGCAACAAACAGATTCAATTTAAATCGGCATCCTGGAGGACTTTGTCGAATATAAACCATGTGTTAACAAACACTCAGCTTTTTTCAATTAGAGATCGTCCCCGCGCTGCCCTCCGTGCAAACCTCGAAGAAAGAACTCGCTTATTTGATTAACCCCCGCGTAATTACAGCGCGCGTCCTCTCAATGGTTTGTCATTTATTCGATCATATAATTTGCGAATTAGGAGCCTATTAATGTGGCTACAAGACCCAAATTATGTGGGAAGAAACTGGTGATCCTGCTGGGATATGATCTGACTCCATTGCGTAAAAATATGTCTAGACCAGAATTAACCCCGTTCAAATCTTGTTACATTTTGAATAACAAAGAGCGTCCACGTGTTACTGACAGTAGTATTTGTTGTCCGCGGAGCTTTAATAGATGAAATAGTCCCATTCAGAGGCCACCGGGTTTGCGCGGCCTGTTGCGCCTTAATGCTCGGCCCCTCACCGTCTGCTAAATACTGAGTGTTTTTTGTCAATATTAGCGGGACTACTTGAGGGGAAGTTTATAATTGGACACGTGTTTCCCCCGCTTTTTTGTCGTTTGGAGATCAACCGATTCCATTGTAATTCGTTTTTAAAGCAATGAGCGATCCACAAGGAGGGGTAAAGTGTTCTTAAGAGCTCCCTTTCAGCCTTTACAATGGCCAGAGCAACCCGCAGAGAAACACGGAGGCCCTGGAAGTATTTAATCCAGGAGATGTGTCCACGGGGCTGTCACACAGCAGCAGAGATTCAGGCACACGCAGGTAGGCTGTTGCCAGTTTGTTAAGGGGAACACGCTCTCTGCCGAGACTGGGAAAGAAACTCAATCATTGTGTTTTTGCCTTTATAAAATATAAAATATGGAGGACATGCTTTTTGACTTCGACGAGGATGGCACGAAGGATTTTGCATTTTGGGGACAAATGGACCAAAACTTCCAGTTTCAGACCCAGCTGGACAACTTCCTGCTGGACTACACCACAGCCGCCGGCCAGCTCTCGCCCTGGTCCTCCCTGGGAAGTCAGTCCATGTTCCCGGACGCGCAGCTGACCTTCACCGACCTCGACGTGCAGTCTCCGGGGGCGGACGTCTGCACGGAAGGGGAAGGCTCCTCCATGGACGAACCCCTGGAGGTGACCAAACACAGGGCGCGGCGGCTGGTGACCCATCCGCCCTACACGGTGCAGCGACACGCGGCCAACATCCGGGAGAGGAAGAGGATGCTGAGCATCAATTCCGCCTTCGAGGAGCTGCGCTGCCACGTACCCACGTTTCCCTACGAGAAGCGGCTGTCGAAGATCGACACTCTGCGGCTGGCCATCGCGTACATCGCCCTGCTGAGGGAGATCCTCGTGTCGGGCTGCGACCCCAAATCCTACGTGGACGAGTGCATGAAGAACGGCTACAAGAATCACACTGACGCCATCTGGAACACAAGCGGTGAGCTGATCCCCCTCATTAGCCCACAATCAAACTGTAATTAACTAATGACCGAGTTGACTGATGTTGCAGATGAGATCAGGGTAATGTTAAGTCTAACTTCAGCCAATTTAAATATGTTGTCTGGAACATTATCAATTATCAATTCATTATATTATTAGAGCATCAGTCTTAATGCAAACAGGTTTTTTCAAAATGTTTGCAAAATAGACTGGATACCTTATTTTCTGGATATTAGAGAATATTAACATATATATATATATATACATATATATACATATATATATATGTGTATATATATATACATATATATATATATATGTATATATATATACATATATATATACATATACATTATATATATATATACGTATATATATATACATATATATATATACA